GAGGAGAGCATTCAACTGTGTCACAGGGCAAGCTCTCATCACTCGGATTCCTCAAGACAAAAGAAAGAGAGGAAGACCAAAGAACACATTACACCAATAAATGGAGACAAATATAAGAAGAATGAACAACAATAGGATAGAACTAGAAAAGAAGGCCCAAGACAAAGTGGTATGGCGAATGCTGGTCAGCGGTCCATGCTCCATTAGAAGTAACAGGCGTAAGGTAGTAATATAGATTTGTTAATTGCCATCCTGGGTTTAAAACCACATGTACAAAACTTGAGAGCAGTATTAAAACGGTGAGATTAAAATTAGATGAACATTCATAGTAGTATGTTTTCGGAGTTCATACTTTAGCATTTTTAGACCTCAAAATAATTACGGAAGAGATTACACCGATCAAATAGTAGGTAGACACCATTGGGCAGTACTCTACACCAAGCTCTCCAAAACAACTTAATTTGTCTAGGATTAGAAACCGTTTGTCGTACATCAATACTAGGTTGTGCACAAACAATTCAGCCTCTGACAGATTTCCCCAAGGGAAAACTGAAAGATTTTAAGCTTCATTCTGAGATTGTAGAGGCTATTTAAAAGCTAGATGATAAACTACACTGAGGATTTACGTAAACGTTTCCGTCTTCCCATTACTCACTTGCTTTAATGGTGGATACTTCAGACAAAGCAGTAGGCGACATTGGTAACCAACTGATTAACAACGCTTGGAAACTGATTGTTTTCTTCTCAAAAAGACTCTCTAGCAGAAACGAGATACTCTGCCTTCGGAAGAGAATTCACATTCTGCCTAAACATCAGTGGTTTCCGAGACGTGTTTGAGGGTAGGAGATCTATAGTTTATATTGGATCGTAGACGAATCACCAATGATTGGCGACACATACTACTTATATCTATAGATATAATTAGCGTACATCACACTAGTACGGGACTAAACCATAACTCCACAAGTTATCTAAACAAATCTCTGATCACCTAAATGTTTTACCACATGGTGTTGAGACCAGATTGGAAAGATTCCTGTTGCTCACCAAGTGTTTGTAACCCAGAGTTTATCAGCGTGATTATTTTTGAGGAGTGAATGTCTGTAACATCATTTAGGCGATTAAAGAGAACCATTTCCAACAATAATGGTTCATTTTCTGCACCAAAATGTGTTGGTTTCGTCATACGTGATGTAAGTGAGCACTGAGGACTAATAAATAGTGAACTGTCGTTAAATATTCGTTTTATTTTGTGATCGCTGATCAACTGATTTATAGTGCGTTGAAATCTCCATCGGTGAGACAATAATCAGTCTTACCGTAAGTGTAAATATGGCTTCGAATAAAGTTGTCGGAAAGAGGACTTGAACCAAAATAAAGCGCTCATATAGTTACTAACTCTAGATCAGACATGTCATTTGGCCATTCGCCTTATATATGCAACTGTTGTGTACTATACTCAGTTGTACGTGATGAGCTTTAACGTAAAATTGTTGTGGAGTGCCAAAATATCTCTCATCTAAGCCATTAGAGTTTCAGAAAACTTCAATCAGTGTTAGCTTAAGTTTAATAAGAAACTTGTAGAAACATCTAAAAATGGAAGGATAAGCATACTTTTGATTGGGTATTTACCAATACTGTCACAGTATTCAGTATGGTTCCGAAAACCTATTGTAGGTTAAGTTTGTAAATGATTCTGTAAACAGTCATTTTTCTGAGCATGAACTAACTTTGAATTAAAGCTTTCACTTACAATTCGCACCTACTCTCCATTTTTTCTAGGTGACGTGGAGAAGCAGTTGAGGTCAAGGAAACCGGCTAGAAAGACAGTATTAAGAGTTTCTGAAGTATAATCGTCAATAATATTATTATCTCACATTGTAACTACCTAGGAGGATAGGCAGTCAATCGATCCATATTACTCTTCACAATTTGTGACACCACTGAGATCCGATCTCGCCTTAAATGTATAAAAAACATACTGGTATTACATGTTCTTGTAGAGAATCCCAATAATCCATTACCTGCTGAGAGAATCGAAACACCAGATGTAAACGATTCATTCTCGCTTTTTGAATTTTCTTTGAATGTGATCACAGATAGCCAATCCTTGGTTAAAGGAAAAGATGATCGAGATTATAATTTGGTATACAGAAATCCAGTAGTAAGTTCCATTGCAACCTGAAGTAAGATAATTAGAATAGGATGAGGTGTCTCAGTCTGTCTTCACATGGAAGACCACTGAAGTCGTTCTCCATTTTGTTCCGTCGTCGCTGGACTCATTACAGCATATACGCGTCAAACGTGAAATAAGAACTCGTTGTCTAAATCTCACATTCTAAATGCGACTCATAAATGTCGCACATGATACTATGAAAAATTCCTTTTCTGAATGACGAGACGGCTTTCTTACAAGACTATGAAGGCAGTAACAGCCTTACTGTTAGACATAGTTCCAAGGTTTCTGCTAATTATGACTGCAGGATCTTTAAAATCCACTAATTAAGGTTATAAAATTTCGCTCTTTTTTTACATAAATTGTTGCGTTTTCTCATCACCAAATTCCTGAAAGAAATAATTTATAATTAACACTTACTCATCAACTCAACCGGTGAATTTAAGTCTACCTCAAACATTATCCTATCAAAAACTCAGTATATAGGTTTCAAAATCCTAATGCCACCAGTAAAGAGTAAAGCAGAGGATTTCGATGCGGCTAGTAGATCATTTTCACAATGCTGAGAAAAAAGAGGACTGAAGATTAGACCATATGGGACTCTACTCTTCACAGATTCCCATGCTGATAAGACCCCGTTTACCCATCCTCGTTTCCTCCTATCAATCAGAAAGACATTTACCCAATTTGTGATTCACTAATGAGTTCAATTGTTGAGATAATGAGTTACTTGAAGCTTGAATACCATGGAAAACCTGGAAGCACTAGATGGCTGTTTCGTCCTATTGCGGGACTCTTTGATTTTGCCATGGTGGTCTAGCTTCAACTGACTCATGATCTCAAAAACTGAAATTACTAAAATCTACACAAGGCCCCTTTTGACACTGATCAACATGTGCTCACTAGTGACTGGTTTCAAGAGGTACGTCCTGGAGTTCTAGTGAGAAACAGTGACCAGTAGAGTCCATCCGGGTCAGTTGTGAAATAGTAACTCACCGAAGACATTAGTGGATGTGTCGCTCAATTTCGTGGATTAGTTGAAGTTATACATTAACGCTGTTGGATGACGACCAGCCCGTTGGTTTAATGGTTAAGCGCTCTCGCGCGAAACCGATATGTTCTGGGTTCGAATCTTGTCGGGGGCGGGATCGTGGATGCGCACTGCCACTGTGGAGTCCCACATTAGGACGAAACGGCCGTCCATTGCTTCCATGTTTTTCATGGTGTTCTAGCTTCAGTTGACACATGAATACAACTATTGAAATTACTACAATCTCCACAAAACCCCCTCTGAAACTATTCCTTAGTGAATTTAAAAAAATTTCCAGCTGTAATATAATATTTTCATACCCATCAAATTTTAGTTTTTTGTATCGATTTAGATTTGTGGTAAAGCCCAAAGCTCTGGAATTGCACAGCTAACTGTCATCTGTACTTCTTCAAAGATATCCGCGCCACCTTATAAACAAGGGCTTGCAGCCTAAGAGCAGTTTTTGTGTTTGTATCTATGGCTGTGTATACTGTAGTGGACGAACTAGTATCTAACTTGGTAAATGTCCATAAATGTCCATCGCCCTTTTGCTACAAGGATATTTCTTGCGCAAGATAATCTGTTTTCGAAATAATATTGTCGGGTGTTTAACAAGTTGTTGGTTTCCACGACTGTTATTATGGCCTTTTGATTATTATCTCCAATATTTTAACCACGATACTGGTGAAGCTGACAGTTCTATAGCTTGATGGAAGTTGTCTTGTTACTGTTTCACGTATTGAAGTGACGATCGCATCCTTCTACTACGTAGGTAACTCATATTTGCCAAGTGGTATATCGAGTATCGTAATCAAAGAAGCAATATGTGGTTCAATCTTTTTCAAGAATCTAGGGTGTAGTTCATACGATCCTGTTGGTTTTCCCGTGTCTAATGCGTTCAGTGCCTTCAAAACGCCGTCCTGATCAAAGTCAACAGTGAGTAGTCAATTTTGTGACTTTGTATTTCGGTCTATTCTTTCGTCAGGAAGAGGTTTCAGAGTGAAGATGACACAGGTATTCGAATTTTGACAACGCTTTAACAAGTTACACCTTCTACTATGAATCGTACCCACCAAGTGAGATCAAAAGACAAGAGTGAGGAGGTTCGAAGATATATTTGATAGGCTATCAATATATCGAGGATCGTCTGATATAATCTGGCTGGCGATTGCAGGGGTTGTTGAGCACGTCGTCTCCACTCGTGATCTGGTGCGAATGCATGACCGAGCGCCTTCAGCTAGGTGAGTCCATTAAAACTAATGTGGTCAGCATCCAATGTCAAAAACAGAGCTATTTATTTTGGGGATTTATTTACCGCTACAAGAGTGTCAGGTTGAGCTATCTGCATCTGATAATCATCTTTGGCGATTTATACACAAACTTCGACGAACTTTCTTCCCTCTGTATCCACGAGAGAGAAACTAAACGTAAAATGTCTGAAAATTGAAGTTTTAAATTTCTAGGTTAACGAAGGCGGTCTTTAAGGCAGTTTTGTGATGGCATTGCTATTGTTCGTTGGGAATTACTAAAAGACTCTTCTTCATTTCCGTAATATATCTGAAACTAAATGCACTGCATAGTGCAAAATATAGCTTACTGTAAGATTTCGTGGATTTCAAGTAGATCTTATCAAGTTTTTACGCTACCCATTAAAAATTCTGTATATGAATAAAACGTGTCAGTCAACATTTCATACCAAATTTTTCAGACTGCATTATATTTAAATTTTATTACCGATCTTCGTGTGCTTCATCTTAGAAGTTTAGTTTTGTGAGCAAATGTTAAACGGCTGAAATGACGACTAAACATATTGGGTACTCCAATCCACGAAATTTCAAAGAGAAGATAGAACTTCTCAAAATGAAAGAAGCGGCGTCTACAGCAAACTTTGCTGCTGCTATGAGAGACGCCCAGGAGATCTGCAAGGTATGTTGTCACACCATTTGGCATTACGGTTTTACATTCAGATTGCACATGCCTACGACGGCCTTCCACTATCACTTGATCATAACCATTTATCTGGAAGTGTCCCGAATCGCTCGGGAATCTTAAAAGCATACTCCCTGTCTAATATTAGTAATACTGACTATCAGACGTTAAAGACTGGCGATAACTCTAGTCAGGAAACCCCGTTCTTCCAAAAAGATATGCCGGTGAGTTTACTTCGTATCATGGTTTGTAGACATTGGTTTTTGTTTTAACTTTGGCGGTTATGTATTGGTTTTTTTGCTCGTTCGTTTCTCTTAGCTTGAGTTACTATAAGTCTCAAAATTCAGATTCGAGGTTCTTGACTTCATAGTGCGTCTGATACATCTTAGGTTTAACGTCAGAGAAATTTCGTTTTGTAAGGAAATAACTACATGACCTCATTCGTTAGCTACAAACTTTTTAACCGTACAGATATTTATGCGAGTAGCTTGGGATACTTGGAATACCACTAAGTATTTTAAACACAGTTTGCAATTTCACAGCAGCGTCAGTTTTTTTAAAATCATCTCTCAATCGTCTATTTGTTGCATTTGTCTATCCATATTCGCTTTTCATGTGATGTTTTGTTCTGAAAGTATCATTGCCTAATGAAAATAAACTATAAGCAATTGATCTAAGAATATCAACGAATTCTGAAGACGTAATGGTCGCTGCATTTCTATGGCAGAACTTGTTTGCAACTTTTCCTATAATGTCGATTGGGTTTTGCCAATTTTACACGTCTGTTTTGAGTTATAGATCAACAAACATTTACTGGACGTTTGTATATCGGTAAAAAGGATTCATCAAATGTACTTAATCAAGCAAACCTCATGTTAGCTTATGATTTCGTGTCATGGATTAGTAACAGGATAGATCACTTTCACAATATATATTCATGGCGCATATGATCATCATTATAATACCCCTGTGGTATCTTCAGTGATTGAGTTGTCAAAATACGGCACATTTTTGAAAGCCCAGCAAAAATTGTGTTTTTAGTTGTTGGAAACACATAAACTAATATTCCTTTAACACGTATCTGCCAAAACATACATTGAATATTTGGTTTTCTTTACTACCGATAGGGTTATAAACCGTTTCATGATCAACCTTTTCAGTGCTTCACTTCGGGAGACGGCGCTTCTAGTACTCCACTTGTTACTGGAAGAGAGTAACCCGTCTGTCATTGATAATCAGGATATATATTATATGCTTCTAGTAAAATAATGTTTTAGTCTGTGGCTAAATCTACTTCAGTGACTGACATATCGCTGTGCGTCAATACCTTAGGTTTAGCGAGAGTATAACATCAAGTCCCCATTGTCCCGAATCAAAAATGTATTTTAGTAAAATTGGTGCATGAAGTATGAATTACACTACTAAACAATCTCTCAACAATAATTGTATTCGAATCGTGCATTTGTTCATGAAGTTTGTAGCTTTTAGTTCGAGACACGTAGGCAGTTATATATTTCTTGGTTGTGATTTGTAAATTAATCATAATTTGTGGTTGAAAACCTTAAGTGATAAGGTTCGACATCAGTTGCAGTAGCACTAATACATTCACTTGTTATCTGAATTTCAGTTTTCGTGGTACTCCGTACTTTTCACTCCCTGATGCTATCCACTTCTTTAGAATTGTATTCCTTATCTTTAAGTTCTCATTGCTATTGATACTATTGTCCTCAGTTCTATGTCCCGTTAATTATTTCACTTCATATGCTAATGTGATAAGGTTAGATGTAGGGTATTAGATTAGGGGATGAAGGTAAATCAGTTGATGAGGTTGTGAATCTTCATCGACTGAGATGGTTGGGCCATGTGTTACGTATGCCTAAACACCTATTACGACGATGCGCAATGCTGACTAGTGTTGGGGATGGTTGGAAGAAAGTTAGGGACGGCCAAACCAAAACGTGGCATCAGTCCACAAAGGCACTAACTTATTGTCTGAGCTATTTTGGTAGATACAGACTACTTGGTTTGGGGTCTGAGCGACTATCGTAACCAATGTTTGGAGACTCTGAGTGACATGTTTCAGGGTTGATCCCAATGGCGTCGGTATATACACTCTTTGTCTTCCCTTAAACTATGAGATTAAACTCTCTTTATACCTTTCTTTCTACGAACCAATTCTTTTTCCCTGCGATACTGTGAAATATGCATATTAGGATTTTGATTAAAGTTGATGGAACAATAAACACAATGTCTTACGCAATAGCCTCACGAAAAATATGGTCACCAAGGTAAAAAAGATTTATAACTGTTTCTTTCTGGATCCATGTATTTGGTTTAAATATTTTTATTGCAAAGTGTGACAGTTTTAAATCCCTTTGTTTATTGATTATTTTTAAAGATTTCTCAACTTCATCATCCCCACTATCGAGCAATTGACTTGAAAACCTTCTGTCCGTTTAGTCTCAGCTTTTGTGGAATATGTTCATAGATTCAGACACAAACCCTCGTTCCTTTTCTTTCGATGTATGTGCTTTAGCACGTATATATAAACTGATAAACACAGATCAGGGTTGCATAAGGCGGGTATTCGTCCACATTTGATTGTCACAATGAGTATTTGGTTTAGTATAGAGACACCAACTTGGTCGCGAAATACATTTTTTAGTATTGCCTTTAGTCTAAAATCAATCCTCCCAGCTATTCCATCTCATTTGAAGTCAAGTTTTAAGAAGACAGTCTTTTTATTAACCATAGGTTATTCCATTTCCTTTTATTTATAATCGTTCTAAATTTACTTACGAGTTTTTACAGATATTTGGAAACAGTGTTTTCAATAGCTGAAATCATGAGTCAATAGAGGCTAGACCACCATGGAAAACCTGGAAGCACTGGACGGTCGTTTCGTCCTAATGTGGGACTCCTCAGCAGTGCGCTTCCACGATCCCGCCCTCCCGTCGGATGCCGGCTCAGTGGTCTAGTGGTTAAGCTCTCGCGCGCGAGACTGACAGGTCCTGAGTTCGAATCTCGCGTGGGGAGGGGCGGGATCGTAGATGCGCACTGCTGGGGAGTCCCATACTAGGACTAAACTGCCGTTCAGTGATTCCAGGTTTTCCATGATGGTCTAACTTCAATTGACTCATGATTACAACTTTTGAAATTACTAAAATATCCACAAAACCCCTTCAAATAGTGTTTTGTAAACTATAGTCAATAAACAAACAGGTTTTCCATGCTGGTCTAGATTCAATTGACTCATGATCTCAAGAAGCCAACATTACAATTCGAAAAGAACTTTTTAAGGATCAGTGGTGAAAAATGCACAAATTGATTTAAATAAAAATGTAGATATTAACAAAAATTACTAACAGATTTGCTTTATTTTAGTCATTTCTACAAATAATATTCTTTATGACTGATTGTTTTGACGAGCGTTGGTAATAGTAACATTATTTCAACTCTTTTCCAATACTAGTTATTATGTTAATTTCATTTGGCTACTGATTTGGTACGTAAACTTAAACTGATGCTCATCTGTGCCAGGTCCTACATTGATCATAAACGATAATATTGTGTAAATTTATCATTCATTTATAACATTGCTCATTTTTGTCTTTCATCCTCCAGGTCGATCGTAAAGATATACATGGCTCCAGTGTATCTAGTTCTAATACCAGTGTATATCCATCAGCATCAAATATTCATGATGAACGAGTTGTTCAAAGACTACTACCTAGTAGTAATGTACCAATTAAAGAAACTATTCCGGTTAAATTAGATGAAGAATTATCGCAAAAGTCTCAAAATCCCAATGTTTGTCCATTTTTGTATGATTCAATTGGTTCAAAAACTACCACAACAACAACTACAACACCTGATACATCTCATCATTTACATGAACGAAATACTTTTATTCATGATACTGATTATGCATCATCTGATAATTACTTGTCATCCTCTTGGTCTACTATTCCACCTACACAACATTCTGCTCCTAAAAGCTGTTTAGAGTAAGTAGCATGGAGTTTGTTTTTTTCGGAAAAATTTAATTGAGGAAATTGTTTAGTTAAGGGGGGTTGGTGAAGATTGGTTTAATTTATCGATGGTATTCATCACAGACGGATATTAGTCGTTGTATTATTGAAAACTATGGAGCGTTGTTTAATCTGGTTGGCGATTTTTCAGCAAGAAGGTACAAGTATTTATAAATAATTGTCTACACAAGATACTCAACATCCATTGGCTGGATACCATCAGCAACAACCTTCTGTGGGAGAGGACAAACCAGCTTCCAGCTGAAGAGGAAATTAAGAAAAGACGTTGGAAGTGGATAGGACATACATTACGGAAACCACCAAACTGCATCGCGAGGCAAGCCCTAACTTAGAATCTTGAAGGGAAGCGAAGAGAGGAACGCCAAAGAACACATTACATCGGGAAGTAGAAGCAGATATGAAAAGGATTAATAACAACAGGAAAGAACTGGAGAGGATTGCCCAGGACAGGGTTAGATGGAGAATGCTGGTGAGCGGCCTATACTCCCACGAGGAGTACCAGGCGTAAGTAAGTAATGAAGCGTTGGATAGGTGTTTTGTTCCAGCGTGGGACTCCTTAACAGTGCGCACCCATGACTCCGTCAAAGACTGAACCCAGGGCTTTTAGGTCTTGCAGTGACTTTTCTACCATTCGGAACATTTAATCAGCATCCAATGGTACAGTTCCACCTTCAATCCATTTCGTAAAATAGTGCGGCGATCACACGATCTTAGCTGTTTTCCTTCTGACATTTCTGATATCCTCTAGTCACAACTCATTAGGACTTCAAGAACATTTTGAAGTAGGTCACTAGTATAAGCTGAGTATTATATTTTAGTTGGAGGGATTTTTTAGAGATTAGTTTCATTTGTCGGTAGTATTTGTCACCAAGTGGTAGAAGTTCGAATTCTACCATTAGGTGCCGACTCAATGTTTGTAATGACTAGGCGTTTGTCGTGAGACCTGAAGGTCTTATGTTTGACCCTTGGTGTCGTGGTTGCGCACACACTACTCAAGTGTTTCGTAATAGGACAAAGTGGATTTCAAATGTACTTCCTAGTTTTAAATGATATCGTGATTAGGATCAATCTGTGTGGAAGTAGAAACAATTTCAGTGGTAACAGAAATGATTAGGTATGAACAGAGAAAAGAATTTATAGAGATATTAGGATTGAGGTTCTAAGAGAAGACAAAGAGTGAACGCACCTCCGCTGTTGCTAATAGTTTTGAACCATGTCACTTACATCTGCTAACACTGGTTACGATGTGTGCGCAGACCCCAATCAGGCAATCTACTTCAGTGAGTTTATAAACTTGTATCATGCCTTAATTTTGTCGTCCCAAACTCCTACACCAGGCAATATCACCCGTCAGGGTATTCAGCTGTTGGAGAGTGCATAACATATGTCCCAATCTCTCAATTGATGATTCGCTACCTTATTAGTCTATCTGCCATGCCTTTTATTTAATTTGTTTACTTGAACACATAAATATTGGTACAAAGAGGCACCGAATATATATGCGCTTTTTTTCCTCTCAATTTCGTAAAAAACAGTACTACTGCAAAAAGGTAGTAAGTAGAACTCTCCAGTCAATGGTTGTATGCACGTGGCCTTGTGTGAGCATTTGTATAGGAAGAGCTGACTTTCCGCCCCCCACCCTTGACCATACCAGGGCATTTGGGGGCTTTACTGATTGCACCACGGAGGCTTATTCACTGGTGCCGAAGTGTACAAACAGTGCTTCTATGACATCACCATCCTCTTTCACAGAACTATTATTTTACCAGGTTTTTTTATAGTAAAGTCTGGTAAAAATCTAATTGAGAGCAATATTGCTCGCTTATGTGTTGTTCTAAGATTATGCTTGTTTACCATTTGAAATCAGGCATATGGACTACTTCACTCATCATGGGAAATCTCAATAAACCTTGTAGGTTGATGGTTGATAATGTCTGGGTAAGGATCCAAACATTTTTGTCTGTCTTTTGCTAATCTGGGTTGTAGGTGAGATTTTTCCTGTTAGCCGAAGTTCAATTATACTTTTATGCAGCAAATCACTATTTTTGTGAATCATAGCATATGAAAGTGGAATTCATGTATTAGCTGCAATTATTTGTCCATAGGTATCTTCGAAGCACTACTGAAATATCGAAGAACCATCACGTGAGTAACACTAACGCCAGGCATAGGGTACTATATAAAACTGGGAAGTTGATTGATATGGCTAATAACTGTTCATCGACTGAGGTGTTTAGATCATGTATTATATATATTTATCCATCGTCTACCCCAATGTCAAATCCTGATTAACATAAAATTAGATTAAAAATGAGCTAGTGGCAGACAAATCAAAATATGGCATTCATCCATAAATTCATTGATTGTTTATCTGAGCCATATCTTATCAAAGTTAAATTGACTTTAAGTAAATATCAGTGAACTCAATGAAATTTGAACTTAGCAAGTATCATTTTAGAAAATAAATGTTTACCTATACCATAAACTATTCAGCCAAAAAATATATTACGCATTCATAAACCCAAGATCCGAAGGCGAGCTCGTACTGCTGACTGTACAGAGGGGTGTGGCGGCAGTAAGGTGTTTCTTTCAGACAACCAGCATAATAACAGCGATGCTGCCTTCTCACAAGGAGGAGTGGGGTTAGAAAAGGTCTACTCTAAAAATACAAATCTGGCCTTATCCCACGGATTTCCGTTTTCGGCAATAAGGTCCAAATAAGTACGGAGCGAATACGAAAATTACTCGCAAAAAGGTCGTGTGTGACCAACCTCAAGCAGTTGTCTCTTGAGCATTGCGATCACACTCTCAGGTCAGTGAGACCAGATCTGACCCAATTTTCTTTTCAGGTACCTCCAGAAGAACCCTTCCACAGTGCGGGCAACCGGGAAGTGATAACTACCTTCATACTTCTAACCGCACTCAAGATCACAGTATTCATAATCAATCTCCTGAAACTATTCTATCGTTTAAAATTTGGTACTATAATGGTTAAATACAGAGTCACTCAGTCAGCTACAACCTAGTACCAGGCAGATATGCGCATCGGTCCAAGTTGCCATACCTCATTAGCACAACAAGATGAATACCGGATTCATGGAAGTAATTAATTCAATGGTGGTAATATATAAAAGGAAGATTGCATATTATAATATAGTACTTGAGGAAAGAATTAGTATGTAGAAAGATTTGAAGCAATTTTAATCTCATAGTTTAAGGGATAACAGAGAGTGTATACACCGATGTCATTGTGATCGATTCTGAGCCATGTCACAGAGTCTGCAACTATTGGTTACGATAGTCACAGAGCAGTGAATTGTTAGATATGGTAATACTTCCAACAAAAAATCACACTTTACATAACAAATTACTGTGTGTATAGATACCCACATTACAGGGACTATTTACAATTTGTTTGATTAGTTTTACAACGAAAAAATAAACTTGGTTGAATATATTTAACTTTGAAGTTGTTAATATATCTTAACATGCATTTCGGTCAGTCAGTCAGTCAGTAACAACGTAGAACTTCGTACGTTTGTACATCAGTTCGAGTTGCCATACCACATTAGCACAGAGATGCAGTTGTCGATTAAAATCCCGTAGTGATAGAGGTGGTAAGAGTATAAGCAGCATTTAAATCTTACAATCATTCATTAACCCTTTACTGATACTTCATTTGTCTATAAGGTAGGTAAAGATATATTTTCATCGTCTTAAAGTTCGTTTAGTAATATACTTTCCCTTAAGGTTACTTAGATTAGTTAAGTACAATTTTTTTACTGTTCTTCAATAAAAACTAAACTACTCATTATTTTTTTAATATTTTGAGAGTAATATATATATCTTGTAGTAAAAAAATATGTTATGTTATTTGAACAATTACATTCCGATCATGATTTTTGAGAAACACATGAGTTGAATTTACACTGTGCTTCTTTAAGTTTGATAAAGGTTTCTATTAAAATTTGTTATCAGTTGTACAGTTCTTTGCAAATAATTACTTACTTACTTACGCCTGTTACTCCTAATGGAGCATAGGCCGCCCACCAGCATTCTCCAACCTACTCTGTCCTGGACCTTCTTTTCTAGTTCCATCCCATTCTTGTTCATTTTTCGCATGTCTATCTCCATTTCTCGGCGTAATGTGTTCTTTGGTCTTCCTCTCTTCCTTTGGCTTTGAGGATTCCATGTGAGGGCTTGTCTTGTGACGTAGTTGGGTGCTTTCCTCAATGTGTGTCCTATCCACATCCAACGCTTCTTCCTCTGCTGGGATCTGGTTTGTTCTTTCCCACAATAGGTTGTTGCTGATAGTCTCCGGACAATGGATCCGAAGTATTTTGTGTAGACAAGTGTTAATAAACACCTGTATTTTCTGGATGATGACTTTCGTAGTTCTCCAGGTTTCTGGCCTATACAGTAGAACTGTCTTGACATTTGTATTGAAAATCCTGACCTTGGTGTTGGTTGGCAGTTGCTTTGAGTTCCAGATGTTCCTCAGTTGTAAATATGCTGCTGTTGCTTTGCCGATCCACGCCTTCACATCTGCATCAGATCCACCCTGTTCATCAATGATGCTGCCCAGATATGTAAAGGTTTTTACATCTTCCAAATCGTCTCCGTCAATTGTGATTGAATTGGTGCATGCTGTGTTGTATCGGAGAATCTTGCTTTTCCCTTTGTGTATATTGTGACCTACTGCTGCTGAGGCTACTGCTACACTGGTCGTCTTCTCCTGCATTTGTTGTTGCGTTTGTGATAGAAGGGCCAGATCATCTGCGAAGTCTAGATCGTTCAACTGTATCTTAGATGTTCATTGTATCCCGTGTTTTCCTTCAGATGTTGACGTTTTCATGATCCAGTCGATCACCAGGAGAAAGAGAAAGGGTGAGAGTAAGCAACCTTGCCTGACACCGGTCTTTATTTCGAACAACTTTGCAAATAATGTATCTAGTTTATTTATTTTTATTTAAACACATAAACATTGGTACAAGGGGAGGCACTAAGTAGATATGCGCCGCACTTTATCATTCGATTTGTGTGAGGTTTAATATACTGCTCGGGTGCCCAAACCGAAGCAGGTGCTTTTGTTAGGGGGCCACGCACGGAGCCTTTCACGTAGAGGTCTGATCCACAAGGTAGTGGACAAAACGGCCGTCCAGTGCTTCCAGGTTTTTTAATGGTGGTCTAACATCAATCGGTTCATGATCTCAATCAATAATAAAATAATACTCATCGAGTATTTACGTTGTGTACTAATTATACAATATTATAGTGATCATAAAAGTAATATTGAGTAATTGGAAGAAAGAGGATCAATGTTATCAAAGTAATTATTTGAGAAATTAAACAGTTGTTACTTCGTATAATATAGAAAAAGAACTAACAAGCTATTTCGATGAAATGTCAGTTTTATAGTAGTTATGTAAGAATCAAAAGACATATTGAAAATATGTAAAAATACAGAAGTGAAGGAAATTAGAAAATTTCACTAAAATGATGAATCGATCTAAGTTAGATCACCATTAAAAACCTGCAAACACTGGACAGTGGTTTCATTTTGGTGTGAGATTCCTCAGCAGTGAGCATCCACGATCCCACACATGGGACTCGAACCCAGGAACTTTGGTCTTGGACGCTAAGGCTCAATCTCTAGATCACTGAGCCAGCATCCAACGGTCTTAATGTCTAACCTTAATCGCTTCTCGACTGTACTGAAAATTAGAAATTTGATTGAGTATTTTTGAAATAAAGGTTTTAATCAAAGTTCAGCTAAAAACTCACCCCTATACCAATTGTCTAGGTAGAGAGGGTGGTTGTACAAAATTCTTTTTTATGCAGAGGTTAGGTTTGCGAACATGGATTCTGACAACTTCATCAGTATTCAAAAGACAAACTTGCGTAAACCACGTAGTAAATTTGATGGGATATAGTGGATAGAGAGGGAGAAATGCATAGGAAACTATAATTAGCAAACAGAATGAATTGTTTACAAATCATATTTAAATGTGTAAATGTTCTAAAAATTTAGTCACTTAATAATCAACATTGTCAATGTGAGTTACTCATTATTTCACAATATAATGTGACACTGCTGTGGTTTTATCGTTATAAATCAGTTCAGATGAATATTCTCGTTTGCCCTCAAATGCCCTGGTACGGCCGAGTGTGGGGAGAGTCAGTTCTCCCTCTACAAACGCTCTCACATGGCCACGCGTATATAGCATCTGCCAGGGAAGTCATACTCACTACCTTCTCGCACGATGGGTGTTGTTTACGAAACTGAGAGGACGAAAATTGAATATCCGACGCTTTAACCGACATAGTGGACACGAAGAGTTCACCTAGCTCAGTTGGAAAACCCCCATTCCAAACCAATTCTGCACATGGGCTCAAGGATTCTGAAGTAACAAATAGCATATAAACCAATCGTTGATCACCGGCTACCATGGGACTACATTTCCTAATGTTGCTCCACTACCTTGTGAATCAGACCTTTAGGTCAGAGGCTCCGTGTGTGGCTCCCTAAGAAAACCACCTGCTTCGATTTGGGCATCCGGGCAGTATTCTAAACATCACACAAATCGAATGATAAAGTGTGGCGCATATCTATTTGTTGCCTCTTTGCACCAATGTTTGTTGAAATAAATAATAAATCATCACTATCATTGATATTTTGTATTTTTACTTCTAAGAAATTTCATCACTTTCTCGACCTAGATCGCTATTCATCATTTATGTTCTTTTTTTTCTCTCCTCACAGTCCAACTGTACATACACTTGATAAATTTAATTCCTCTATTTTTTTCTTCCTTTCAATTTTCAGTAATTGGAATAATGAATGTTCCAGTGTTGCAGTTGTTAGTCAACATCATATTCAAAAGAATTTTAATTTATTTACAAATACTAAACCATACTATCATAGGTTACAACCAAAATCACATATTTCTACAAATCCTTATTTATTTTCTACATCACATTCAAATGTTGAAGTAGCATCTACTACTAGTTTACTTACACAACAATCATCATTAACGAATTCAAGTCAATATACATGTGAATCAGGTTATTTTAGTGCTGGTATATGTACACCAGTTGGATTTCGAAGTTTTCCTCCTACAAATTCTTTACAACATCAATTGAAAACACCATTTTCTGCTAATATTACTGAACAGATTAGACAAGCTCAAACACCATATTCAGTGGTTGATTGGCGCAGGTAATTACACATTTTTAACTGATTATTATTATCATTACTATTTTTAATATCAATCGTAGTAGTAATAGTCTAGAGAATTTGTGGAGATTTTGGTGTTTTCAAAGTTTAAACTTCGAATTGATCTTCGCTAGATTATCATTGAAAAACCTGGAAGTACTGAACAGACGTTTCATTCTATTATGGGACTCCTCAGCAGTACGTATTCATGAAGTTAGATATTAACATCATTGGATACTGACCCAATGGTCTATAGGTTAAACGCTTACGCTCCAGACTGAAGATTCCGGACTCGATACCTAGGTTCGGGGTCGTGGATGCGGACTGCTGTGGAGTCCCATCCTGGGTCTAGACGACCATCGAATGCTTCCAATTTTTCAGTGGTGACTTAAGATCAACTCGATATATTAACTGTCATTATTATTATATCGGGTGTAATTATTATCTGTACACTTGACTTAATTAACCATTCAGTAGTTCTATTCAACCACCTATTTACTTGCTTTAACATGAACAGTTGTGCAGTATCATTAACAACCATACCAAAAATTGTAAATTTGAATCCATTAACCTGTATTTGATTCCCAAATTTAATTACATTCTATTTATTGATGATAATATTTTGATATGATTACCAGAACATTAAAGTGTCCTGTTGTCAATGAACGAGAACTCAGGTGGGGACAATCAATTTATTGTTTAACACAAAATTACAGGGTTTTCCAACCCCCCTAGGTGGATCCTCCATATCCGCCAACCCGGTTAAAGCACCGGACATTCGCTTTTCATCCTCAATTTCTTAAACAACATCCCCACCACGAGAAGGTAATGAATAGGACTTTCCTGATTAGTGGTTGTATATGTGTGGTCATGTGAGAACATTTCTAGAGGGAGAGCTGATTCTCCCCACTCTCAGCCATACCAGGGCATTTGGGCTAGATACCTGTCTCTACCTGACATGAATTAACTTCACTGATCACAGCTTCTCACTAGAACTTCGAGAATTCCCTCACGAAACTAGTCACTGGTGTCTGTTGGCATAAGTAGCATACACCACACTGTAACTGTTTCAGATGATGAAATAAAATTTTGCCTATCGTTATATCACACTTTGAAAATTCCGTTTAAATCACAATATAATTGAAGAAAGTATTTTTGTTGTTGTTGAAATTCTATCCAAGAGGTTGAAATTCCATTATAATTGATATTCGTCTTTAAATAAATTTAGTTTAGTAATCATGTTTTGATTAATCATTCTACCATTTGATTCCATACGGACTTTGAAACGGAATAGTTTTCTTATTGTTCCCAATTGAGGAAAGGTATCTTCATATACATTTATGTTGCATGTTTGTTTAATATTATTACTAGTTGTAATGTTTAATTTCTCCTAAGGACTGCTTCTGATTCATCTATCCACCATACATTATCAGATATTCAATTAAATCCAATTGAACAATATACATATGGTCCTGGGAAGACAGAAAAGTCACATGTTTTAAGTCCTAGGTCTATCATGTCCAGTGATCATTACTTCAGGCCAGCATGTAAACTGAGAGGAGTTGAAGAGGAAGAGACTTCAAATATTTTAACACCTATGGATGATACAGATACTAAGCGTGCTTGTATTATTCGACGTCATCGTGATACTCATCTACTGGACAATAGTCATTTAGTTCATACGGAACTACCAACAAATGAATCTCATCTAATGCCAGCAAAAAGACCCTATACATGTTCAACAGAGTCGCAGTCATCAAACGGATTTGACCCAGTTGCTTGTGAGATGAAAATGTGCACGTACGTTTCTATTTTCAGATTTATTTACTTACGGTTTGTAGTTGTAAGTTTGAATAGATCACCCGCAGTTATGATCATATCTCATTGGTTTAAAGATCATTGACTGCCTACGAATTTCCAAAATTCACCAAGTGTTAAATCTTCTCAATGAATTTGTTTATTTACAGGTATTTTAAAAGTGCTTTAGTATAACAGTATGCTAGAAGAAAGCTAAGAGAAGTCAAACCTTCAGTCTATGTACTCATCAGTTGTTAATCTGAGCCATGTGCTTACTTGCTTGGTTTGCGGTTTGCACAACCATTATGACCAATTGCTGTAGACTTCAGATGATATGGTTCAGAATTAACCGTAATGGTGCAAATGACGTTATCTGGAGTTGCAAAACTATTTAATACTTTTTTATTGTACAAATTTGTTTTTTATTCTCGAACCGTATTACTATTTCTACTACTCTGATATTTATCTTAGTAATTTCATCTCTCCATACTATTGTGACATGTCAACTTGAATCAACGCGTGTATATATACCAGATTCTACGTTGAATAAGTATGTGAAGCAATGTTAGAATTAAAGTATCTCCTTGTTAGGGATAGGTGTACTGTTATGAAATAAATAAATACCTTTAGACTAATTGGAATCGATTTTCAGTTAGCCTCAGGTTCATTCATTGATTAATCAAAAGATGTCAAATTACATCCTTCGTCTTATTCTTCCGTTCTCATATGATTACTTTCACTCATTTTATTGTCTTTTTCTCTTAGTACAGTTCAAAATAGTTTCCGATTTTACATTGTTTCTCTCTGTCCACACTAACATATTCATCAATTTAATTTGTGTGAGTTTGTATTTTCCTGTTGTCGATGGTAAGGTACTATAATTGGTCGATCTGTGTCATTTGTAGATCCTGAACGGATCATATCAATACCACCATTTAGTCATAATAGCTTAGAATAATAGCTTGCAGTGGAATAAAGGGCATATGTTCCGTCTGATTTAGGGCTCGTTAGCTGAATGTGCCTACATCATCAGTGTCAATGTTCTCATTGAGTTACCGATCTATTATCTTTTGCTTCAAATCAAGTTCATATCTGTTACATAAGGTTATAGGTAACTGGACTCAGTAATTTCCACTGTACTGGTTGACATATCGCATTAAAGCTCATATTTTCAATGTGAATGGAGCTCAGTGACTGCTTAGTAGTTGAAACTATTATTGACATTTAAATTGTTGCCTTTTCCTTTGTAAATTACTCTCCACTTCCACCACCTCCACTCCATCTACTTTGATGATTTAGACAGCCTAGTAATGGTTTCAGTATTCGTTCACGCGTAAACAGTAATAGAGCCCAGAACCCGAGGACATAAACATTATGTACTCGATGTGAATGAATAATTATCATTTCAATAGCCTTCTTTTCTTGTTGAGTTTTGAGTATAAATACTATTCTTTACTGTTTAGACCGCATATGGACAACAGTGGTAGTACTATGGAAAAGAAAAACATTGTAAGTAAAGTTTTTTTTTCTCTTTTTAAAATGGTTCTCATTTTTCAACTATTTTTTTTGAGTTTTGTTTGCATATAAATCTTTTTCATAATTTTCCTCTTGATTTTGCATTGTATTGATTAGCCTTTAAACGAATAAATCTTTATTTAAAATGGATTTCAATCTGTTTTACGTGGTCATAAATAACGTTGATCATATCACAAATCTAGGTGTCGACTCGCTCGTGTTATCACATGTCACATGTCGAGAGGAATTCTTAACAAGCTACACATACTCAATCGTTTGAGCTCTGGGCTACATGACTAATAGTTCCGTGACTGTAAAGGTGTGTGACAGCAGTAAAATGTTTCCATCAGACAATAAGCATTTGGACCGATGAGACTTTCTCACAATGAAAAGTAGGGCTTATAAAAATGGTTGACCCTAAAATTAGCACAACACACCTTATTCCTCTGATTTCTGGCACCAACAATAAGTCTTTTAAACTATGGAGCTAACTCATCTAAAACTATCCACAAAAAGACTGTCTGTCTGTTATCCACCTGAATCTACGGTCACGGCATCGGTAATTAGGAAGTGACGGTTACCTCTAACAGCATTCACGGTCACCTCGTTCACAATTTAATAACTAACATTTTTGTCTTAAAATGTTTCCATGTACTCAGTTACAGTTATTTTTATGATTAAGTCTATCGAAATAGTTTATTGCAATGGTTGATACACAGTGCTTACTCACTCTGCTCAGTTGTTAATGTCTCCCTTTGGATGATTTGTTTTTCATGCTAGTTGGAGTAGGAGGCAAGACTATGAATTGATTATTGAGGGTTGTCTAAATTTAGAAATTTTGAAGGAATCAAAACTTAGAGTATAATTCTCAAATTATATTAAAGATATGATTGTTGAAATTATTTTGTAGTCTACGCTATGACACTATGTTTTTCCGGAATACTGTAACGGCTATTTTTTTTGCCTATTGGCGGTTGTATGAACTTTTCTAGGATTCCACTGACGATACAGCATTGAAACATCACAAAAGTTGGAAAATTCGTTCTAGTGTTTATAATCCTCATAGTTTAGAACAACCAATGAATAAATCAATTTATCCATGTGTATCCAATAAAAATAATAATACAATGACAACAAATTCAAAGTATTCCGAACTCATTGATCCATCTTCTCTACTATCAACCTCATCATCTCATAGTTTTCATTTCAATCAAGATCATTATTCCTTTGGTGGTACACATCTACACAATTTACCTTTACAGCATGCAGAATCACATAGAGGTAATCTGGTTAATATGTTGACTGCAAGTGGAGAAGTTGCTAGGAGTGGAACAGCTGGCTCAAGTGGTGTTGGCGTTTGTGGCAGTAGCGGTGGCAACAATAGTAATATTCAAGACAGTACAACAACAGATGATTTATTTCTTCGTAACACTAGTACTGGTAATAATGATTTGGATGAATATTTACAACTCCCTAATTTAATTTGTAAGGCGGATGAGTCTACCAATCATTTTGGTAAGTATATGTATGCTTGTTTATTTATCAAAAGTTACGTTTATCTGTTTGTTTTTCCTCTTTTTGAAATCATAATTATTGATAAATAATCATAAAGTCGATTAATCTCAACTTTATGCTTAACATGTTAGAAATGGTCAAAAAGTTTGTACATATAAATAGTTACGTGAGTGCTGATGGCGGTAGCTCGACAAATGAGTTCAATCTACGTATAATAAAAGCCAGAGTGATTTCTACTAATCTGAACCGTTCATTACATCTCTTGATCTGCATGTATAAGGTCGGTTTTACAATGCACCGGTAACGGCAGTTGTGCTGTATGTTTGTGAAACATAGCCTCTTACAACTGATCTTGTTAGATGGTTGTTTGTGTCCAATAATCGTTATCTCCATAGAATCTCCTGTTTTCAGTGGGGAAAGTTCAACAATGTGTATTCAAACTCCAATTAGATAACTCAATTGGTATGATCGTCTTCGGCGGATTGATTATATGCTACAAATGTGATGATCAGTTTCTGATATAGTTTCAGAGTATGATAGAAACCTGTATAAAACTAACATCTGTCGTCCTTCACAACTCCAGTGATTGAAATTCTAGAGGTTGATGCAACTCAATGGCTTTTGATATTAATAGACATGACTCAAAACAAATGCCAATGATGGTTCTTCTACATTATTCATGAAAGCGAGAAGAATTTCTTGAACTAAAGCTATGTTTCCTTACTTTTGTTCTCTCATTGAAATATCTTACTTACTTACTTACTTACTTACTTACTTACTTACTTACTTACTTACTTACTTACTTACTTACTTACTTACTTACTTACTTACTTACTTACTTACTTACTTACTTACTTACTTACTTACTTACTTACTTACTTACTTACTTACTTACTTACTTACTTACTTACTTACTTACTTACTTACTTACTTACTTACTTACTTACTTACTTACTTACTTACTTACTTACTACTTACTTACTTACTTACTTACTTACTTACTTACTTACTTACTTACTTACTTACTTACTTACTTACTTACTTACTTACTTACTTACTTACTTACTTACTTACTTACTTACTTACTTACTTACTTACTTACTTACTACTTACTTACTTACTTACTTACTTACTTACTTACTTACTTACTTACTTACTTACTTACTTACTACTTACTTACTTACTTACTTACTTACTTACTTACTTACTTACTTACTTACTTACTACTTACTTACTTACTTACTTACTTACTTACTTACTTACTTACTTACTTACTTACTTACTTACTTACTTACTTACTTACTTACTTACTTACTTACTTACTTACTTACTTACTTACTTACTTACTTACTTACTTACTTACTTACTTACTTACTTACTTACTTACTTACTTACTTACTTACTTACTTACTTACTTACTTACTTACTTACTTACTTACTTACTTACTTACTTACTTACTTACTTACTTACTTACTTACTTACTTACTTACTTACTTACTTACTTACTTACTTACTTACTTACTTACTTACTTACTTACTTACTTACTTACTTACTTACTTACTTACTTACTTACTTACTTACTTACTTACTTACTTACTTACTTACTTACTTACTTACTTACTTACTTACTTACTTACTTACTTACTTACTTACTTACTTACTTACTTACTTACTACTTACTTACTTACTTACTTACTTACTTACTTACTTACTTACTACTTACTACTTACTTACTTACTTACTACTTACTTACTTACTTACTTACTTACTTACTTACTTACTTACTTACTTACTTACTTACTTACTTACTTACTTACTTACTTACTTACTTACTTACTTACTTACTTACTTACTTACTTACTTACTTACTTACTTACTTACTTACTTACTTACTTACTTACTACTTACTTACTTACTTACTTACTTACTTACTTACTTACTTACTTACTTACTTACTTACTTACTTACTTACTTACTTACTTACTTACTTACTTACTTACTACTTACTTACTTACTTACTTACTTACTTACTTACTTACTTACTTACTTACTTACTTACTTACTTACTTACTTACTTACTTACTTACTTACTTACTTACTTACTTACTTACTTACTTACTTACTTACTTACTTACTTACTTACTTACTTACTTACTTACTTACTTACTTACTTACTTACTTACTTACTTACTTACTTACTTACTTACTTACTTACTTACTTACTTACTTACTTACTTACTTACTTACTTACTACTTACTTACTTACTTACTTACTTACTTACTTACTTACTTACTTACTACTTACTTACTTACTTACTTACTTACTTACTTACTTACTTACTTACTTACTTACTTACTTACTTACTTACTTACTTACTACTTACTTACTTACTTACTTACTACTTACTTACTTACTTACTACTTACTTACTTACTTACTTACTTACTTACTTACTTACTTACTTACTTACTTACTTACTTACTTACTTACTTACTTACTTACTTACTTACTTACTTACTTACTTACTTACTTACTTACTTACTTACTTACTTACTTTACCTACTTACTTTCTTACGCCCGTTACTCTTCATGGAGAAGCATAGGCCGCTCACCAGCATTCTCCATCCAACCCTGTCCTGGGCATCATTGAAATATCCCTTCTTTTATAATCTATTCTTGTTCATATATTTCTATTCATTTATATATTTTGATTTTACTACCCTTATCCTTTTTATATCTATTTACCATTTCATTTTCTTATTTGTAATGGTGCATATTTATTTTGGTGCCCATTTATATATATATCAATATTTATGTGCTTTAATCAATAAATTTGATTTATTACAACTGATAATAATATTGTAATTATGCATACAGTATGATTTGTCGATCTTGGAACATATGACCAATCAATCTTGTGATTACACATGCGTATGTTTATTATTATTGGCAGTAGTATTAGTAATTAGTTTTTTTACCATTTTAGATAGGAAATTGTAAGTTTATGTAATATACCTTAATTCATTGCGAATACTAATCGACCTAAGTTAGACAACCATTGAAAACCAAGTAACACTGGATAGCTATTTCATCGTAGTATAAAACTCTAGAGCAATTCAACAATGTCCAGTGTAGAGTCGTTACCTATCGAAGATAATGAAAGATGATTGCGTAATATAACGGATTTATTGAAGTTAGAAGTGTAAATCATTTGATACTGACTCAGTGGTGTGAAAGTTAAGCGATCGCAACGAGAAATGCAAGTTCTAGATGCGACAATCTTCGGTATCTTAGATGTGCAGTAATGAGGAGTCCCATATTACGACGAAATAACTTCATGGTTTACATTGGTTATCTAACTTAGATCGGTTTATGATTTATTATTTATTTGAACACATATTGGTACAAAGGGGTACGGAATACATATGCGCCACATAAATCATTCGATTTGTGTGAGGACTGAGATACTGCCCGTGTGCCCAAACCGAAGAGGATGGTTTTCTTAGGGAGGCACACCCGGAGCCTTTGACGTTAAGGTCTCATCCACAAGACAGTGGAGCAACGTGAGAAAATGCAGTCCCATGGTAACCGGTTACCAATAATTGGTTCACACGCCATTTGATCCTTCAGGGTACTGGAGCCCATGTGCACCGTTGGTTTGGAATCAGGGTTTTCCAATCCACTCAGGTGGACTCTCCGTGTTTACCAACCCAGTTAAAGCGTCGGACATTCAGTTTTCATCCTCTCAATTTCGTAAACAACACATCCGCCACGATAAGTTAATGAGTAGGACTTCTCTATCAGTGGTTGTATGCACATAGCCATTCGAGAGCATTTGTAGAGGGAGAGCTGACTCTCCCCACTCTCGATCGTACCAGGGCATTTGAGGGCTTTTTGATCTCAGTAACATTCAAATTCTCCACAACTCCACCCCTCCTCTCCATACTGAGAAGATTTTATTGACTATTAGACACTAGTGTTTTTATGAAAGTGTACATATCTTTTCTGTAACCATATTTTAACTGTAGTTTACTATATGATTAAACTCTTTGTACATTCATTTATAAAATATCAAATATTTTGTAAATCAATCATAATACAATTAAAATGAATACAGAAGAATGTATAAGTGATTAATTCATAATACAGATATTATTACATCTTACATATTACATAATATTATCTCAATAAAAATAATGCTTTGTAGGTTTAAACCAAATTTAAAGGAGATTATTTTAAACATTTTGTTGTAGGTATTATAATTTACTAAAGTTTTAATTAGTTTATAGTTGATATTGTGTTCTGTTGTAGAAAAAGAAATACTTGTCGAAGTATTTCATCATTTTTAAACAGAGTAAAGCAAAGTGTGTGTGTGTGTGTCAAAAACTTGTATCATATGAAGAGATGACAGGGAGTTTTTTTCTTTCTAAATCATTAATTATTGTTATCACATAAGTGGAATGTCTGTTTCAATGCCCCCAAATGCCCTAGTGTGGCCGAGAGTGGGGTGGGCCCGCTCTCCCTCTCGAAATGCTCTCACACGGCCACGCTTATACAGCCTCTGCCAGGGAAGTCCTACTCACTGCCTTCTCGTGGAGGGGGTGTTGTTTACCAAAATGAGAGGACGAAAAGCGAATGTCCGACGTTTTAACTGGATCCCAAACCAATAGTACACATGGGCTCCAGTATTCTGCGGGAACAAATGGCGTATGAACCAATCGTTGGTCATCGGCTACCATGGGAATGCATCTCCTTACGATGCTCCACTGCCTTGTGGGTTAGACCTTTAGGTCAAAGGCTCGGGGTGTGGGGCCCTCTAAGAAAACCACCTGCTTCGGTCTGGGCACCCGAGCAGTATCACAGCCCACACGCACACAAATATGATGTGGCGCATATATATTTGGTGCCCTCTTGTACCAATATTTCTGTGTTGAAATAAATAAATAAACTGTTTCAATGGCCGAGTTACAATAAGACACTTATATATTTGCCTCCAAATGCTTTGGTATGACCGAAGGTGAGGAAAGTCAACTCTTACCTCCAGAAATGTTCTCACATGGCCACACATATACAACCACTAATCAGGAAAGTCCTACTCACTGCCTTCTTGTGGTGGGAATGTTGTTTACGAAATGGAGAAGATGAAAAGTGAATGTTCGGTTCTTTAACCGGTTGGTGGATATGGAGGATCCACCTAGGGGAGTTGGAAAACCCTGATTCCCAATCAATGGTTACATAGGCTTCCGGATTCTGAGTGAATATATGGCATATGAACCTATTGTTGGCTACTTTTTACCATGGGACTGCATCTCCTAACATTGTTCCACTGTTTTATGGATTAGATCTGTAGGTCAAAGGCTCTGAGTGTGGCCTCCTAAGAAAACCTCCTGTTTCATTTTGAGCACCCGGACAGAATCCAAGCCTTCACACAAGTCGGATGATGAAGTGTGGTGCATACATATTTTGGTGCCCCCTTGTACCAATGTTTACGCATTTAAATAAATAAATACTTTTAATTAGTTCCCGAATTACTTAATTACATTCTTTTATAGTCATTTCAACTTCAATCATCCATAGTATATATATATTGGCTGGTGTAGTAATTACATTTTCTGAGCTATAAATGGTAAATGAAAGTCGAATGCCTTCATCACCAAGCCTTATCTTCCACTTTAATGAAGTTGACCCTAGTGTTATTTTCTTCTGATCAACATTGGGGTATTTCAATTGTACATATTTTTCAACTTGGCTAAAGAAAAACAAAGTCATCCATTGCAGGTTACAAATACACTGAGTCATTTCAACATTATTCCCTGTATACCTTTACATTATTATTATTTATCCAAATACAACCTGATACAACAGGTTAGCAAAATATAGAATGCTTGATACATTTTTATGTAATCTGTAATGTGGGATATTTCCAGGGAGCCTAGACAAACAAGTGGTTTCATTGATTCCCTGAGCATTCGAATAAACGAACGAATCCGAAAAGTAGTGGAGCAGCGTCAAGAAATTCAGTCCCGTGGTAAATTCGTACGCCATTCCTTCGTTCTTTTAAGATCCAGGAGTCTATGTGTACCACTGATTTGTAATCAGGTAGATTCTCTATAGCTACTAACTCGGACATCATCTTTTCGTCTTATCACTTCCTTAAATAACATTCCTGCCTCATGGAGGCAATGAGTAGATATTTTGTGACAGCGTCTATAAACTCGTGGCTATATAAAAGGATTTCATGAGAGAGAGAGCTAATTCTTCTGACCCTTGACGGTATTATGGTATTTGGGGGTGTTCTTACTGTAATTTGATTTAAAAAGCTACACTGATTTATTTCAAATGACCTTCAGAAATGCAAAAAAATTCACTTAATTTGAGTATTTTTTTTCTCTCTGACAGCTGGACGACGTGACAGTTGTACCATGACTGCAGAAATACTTTCCACTTTGGCTAGTTTTCGAGAAGAAATGGGAGAGTTTGGTGATGGAAAAGTTCATTCAGATATTGTTCCTGCTAGTTCCAATTTTGGTCCCCATTTCGTTCATATACCCAATCGTACCGGTGTATATAATACAATGCATAACGATGATACCAATCCTATTAAAAATGTTGTCAAACAGAAAACTACTCATATACACAATAGTATGATACCTTCTAACTCCTTAATGCATCCTACTACTGCTACTACTATTACTAATAGTAATAGTACTACTACCACTACTGCTATTACTACTAATACTAACACTACTGCCACTACCACTACTACTAGTAGTAGTAGTAGTAGTAATATTTATACAGTTGATCGATGTAGACTTCAAAGTGCTCATTTTATTCAAAGTCATGGTGGGGAGATTAACAACAATGGAATGTTAACAAATTCTTCTACACCAACTATTTATTCTTCATGTGTACATCATGTTGGTGATAAAATTGGCATATCTATGTCACCAAATGATTATCGCCTTTTAACTGATCCTAGATTAGTAAATTATGTAACTGATAAAGAGACTGAAGCGAAACTAATCAATCAATAATTGTAATATTATTAATAATGTTCTTTTTGTGAATAATAGTAATCATTCATCACGTATTTCATTCATATTGTATTACCCCGGTGTGTGTATGTGCGTGCGTGTATTGGCTTGTTTGTGTTTATTTTTCATTCAGTGTGTATGAGTTTTTTTTGTTTTTGTTTGTTGACAAGCTTCTTTATATTCCTATACAACAACCATCAACAACAGTCCTATAATCATCAAAACGTATCCAGTATGGATAGTTCAACAATTTGTTTTTCTATACAAACTATTTATTTGATTGATTAGTTGAATTAAACTTTGTTGTTCATATCAAATATTTCATTTATGAATGATTAATTGAATACCGCCTTGTTATCCCATTCTGGAGATCAAATCAAACAACATACATACACAGAGACGCACTTATTAGTTACATGCGCCAGTCAACTCTCTCTGTTTCTCTCTCGATATTTATACATTTGACAACTGATTAGGGTTGTTACTTCTTTGCTAAGTGATTGATGAATTCATTGATTCATTTATTCACTTACACTCATTAGTATTGGTATAATGTACTTTCTTCTTTTAAGTATTTTCATTGAATATCCTCTTTATATATTCGTCTTTGTATCTTCTTGTTATTCAATTATTTTATGTAGTATGTGTTTATGTTGTTTATATTGGTAATGTTGTGTTGTTTTGTCAACCGATTCATTCATTATAATTTATCTGCTATTCAATATTCTTGATAACACTGGTAAAAGTATGCATATATAGGCAAACATACTCATAAATGCATATAAAGTATATAAGTATACACACAACAAGAACAACATTTTCGAATCTATTCATGAATATTACTATTGGTGATTGTTCCTTTATTCTTGTTTATTTCTGTCTCTTAGTAAAACTGCTACTTATTCCCATCTCCCTCTCTATCTCAATCCCCTTCTCTTTCATTTATTCTGTACTTTTCTTTCTCATCGATTCATCTATTTACCTATCTATATATATTGATCAACTGATCGATCATTGATTGATTTTACTGTTCCCGGTTAACACCTACCACCTATTAGTTATTGTTGTCAAGGTATTTTGTTTTGAGTATGTTTTTATATTTTTTTTCTTCCTATAACCCATTAACCTTTTATTTTTGTCTCTTGGTGATCGATATATATATAGTTACATTGGTTTTGTCTTGTCTCTATATACACACATACTTCGATATTTGAACGTATCCAGTTGAATTTTTTTTTCTTTATGTGTATATGTGTAATATGTGTACTGGTTACTAATATTTGTTCATTAGTAATTCTATTCCCGGTCATCATCTTAAAAAAAAGATCCTTTTTCCTTCTTCTTCTTTTACTTCTTCATTAAAACTTACTGATCATTATTGATCATCATAGGGTTAATGGATTGTTTTGTATTCGATTTCTTTTATGACTATTATCAATAATATTTAATAATATAATCGATAGAATTGGTGTTATTACTTCTTTATTTACTTGTTTTAACCTCTTGCCATTATTATTATTATTATTATTATTATTATTATTATTATTATTATTATTATTATTGTATTTCTGTACGATTCGTAGTAGTACCATTTACTACACAGACATGATTGTACTACTTTGATCAGTGATTTATTTATTTATTCATTCATTTACACATTGACTTCTACTACTTCTCGGTGGTGGTTCTTTTTTGTAATTTTAAAGAAAAAAGAATAAAAATAAATAAAACATCGCACAATGTTTATGATTCACTGAATTATGTGTATATATATAAATCTGTGTGCGTTTGTGTGTGTGTGTGTGCGTATGCATGACTGTCGATTGTGTATTAATAGTGCTGTACGGCTTTGTGCATACATGAGTAGATGCTTCTATGCTCTAACTGATCTAATCATCGGTATTACTGTTGTACAAGTCTTGTTGGATAGACGCTTCGTTTTTCTTTATAGAAAAAAAAGAACACCTATAAACCATGTTTATGTAATGGACAATAATGTTCTATTATAGTTGACTAACAAAGAGAAAACAAAACCCCCACACATTACTGCTTATGGTTTCTCCTTGAATTTAAACTTTCAGTTATCTTATTTCTTTTTTGTTTACTTGTGTGCGTGTTTATGTATGTCTTCCTAATTGAGTTGTCCTACTTCTATTTCAATCAATTAAATGATATGCTGTGTAAGTGTCCGGTTCTCTGTCTCTCTCTCCCTCTCTCTGTGTGTGTGTGTTGAATGGGTGACCGCTTATTTGTAATCCTTCTTCCAAGCGGTATTATTATTGTTGTTGTTGTTACTGCCAACACCATCGTCAGTCTTTTTACTGCTGATCATTGTTAACACTGGTGACGTCAGTGCACATTTTTCCTCCCATTATTATTATAATATTTCTAAAAGTGAATCTTTCATAATCATCTCATCACATATATATATTGAATTAAAGTTTAATATTATTTATGTTATTACTTCTTTTAACCTACATTAACCTACAATATATTGTCCTCTATCATCTCCTCTATACAACAATGACTTCTTTTCTATGGGTTCTTTTAAAATTCATCTTCTATTTAACATTTATTGTTAACACTAAAGAAATTTATTCGTTTACAATCATATTTATGTGTTTTGGTGCAGCACAAATAAAAAACTCCTAAGGTTAGGATATAATGTATGTTGTTGTTCTTGTTGTCGTTTTCAATATGTTCTTCTCTTCCTCCTCATCCTCCTTTCTCTCTCTTCCACACACACACACACACACACACAAAGAAGAATATGCACTATTTGGTTTCATTATTTAAATAATCAAAAAAAATCAACTATGATATATTTAATTTCATTATTCATTGTTTCCAATTTTTCTCTCCCCCCTCTCTCTCTTTCCTGATCTTTGGTTAGTGTTCTGTCTTGTTTTGTTTCTCCTAGTGACTAGTGTGTAGTTTTATTGAAGTGCATGTGTGTATGATGAGTATGTTTTTTTTTAAAAATTAATTTAAATAAAAATAAAGATTTAATTTATTAAATATAATATAAATATTGATAATATTTATTAACAAAAGATAAAATTGTAATAATCATTTTTCTTATTAATAAGTAGTATATAGTTGTAAAGTTTTTGAATTAAGACGGTGAGATTATTCATAGGTAATTAGTATTCGATTATAGATGTCTTTGAAGTATTGTTCGGTATATCCTGGAATCATCGAGTAAGTGATGTAGTTGTTAGGAAATGGGTATTAGATATGGATGAAAAATCAATTGATGAAGTATTGCGACTTTATTAGTTGAGACGGCTGGAATATGTGTTATGTATGTCCAACCACCTACTGCCCTGACAAGCGATGTTTTATAGTGTAGGAGTAGGTTGGAAGAAAGTTAGGGGTGGGCCAGACCAAAACATGACACAAATCCATGAAGTCACTGACACGTGGACTAAGCCATGTTGGTAAGTGTAGACTACCTGGTTGGGATCCGTGCGATGATAGCAACCGATGGTTAGAGACCTTGAATGACATGGCTTAAAATCGTTTGCAATGGAGCAGGTGCATCCACTCTTTGTGTTCTCCCAAATTCTGATCTTCTGGATTATTCATGTCCCTTTTTTTTCTCTTTCCAAATTTATTTCACTGGATTATAGTCCTTGAATGACATCTTCAAACCCTAATCTTTTTGATTACTTCTTATACTTGTACTACCTCTACCAGTATGGGATTTGAATGGATAGTTGTATCTGTAGAACAATGAGAAAACGGAGTTGATCTCAAAACATTGTGATGTATTTGCGCTATACATTTCGAACAATCTGGTCACACATATACTTGTCAGGGTATTTTTATATAAAAATTAATAAAGATCAATTAAATGAAAGTTCAAGTAAAATAGCATATAATTGAAACGGGCACAAAATTAACATTAATACAGCATATAGAATGTTGTATAGAAATTGTCAAGGTTGAATTCTTGAGTTTATTGAAGCCTTAGCTATTCGTAAATTTAAACCACCCCCCCCCTTATGTGTACAAAAACAGTTTGTTGTAATCTTGAATTTACCTTGGTAATCCTTAAGTCATTCTATGGCCTAAGATAACGTGACCATTTCTTATTCTTTCTCTCCCCTTTGTTATTTTAATTGGACTTTTATTTGTTTCACCTTTATTAATTTTTATATAAAAATGCCCTGACAAGTATATGTGTGACCAGATTGTTCGAAATGTATAGGGCAAATACATCACAATGTTTTTAGATTAACTCCGTCTTCTCATTGTTCTATCGAAATTTATAAAAAGGGACTAGTTGCTTTAAATTGTATCTGTGTGGTGACGTAGTATGGCAACTCGAACTGATGTACGTACGTACGAAGTTCTATGTCGCTGTTGACTGGCTGACTATAATTTATGGAAGAACCAATCAGGTTAAAAGATAACAGGTTTCGGATTTTGCCGCGAAATTCACCCATCCATTTTGATAAATGGAGTTTTGGTTTATAGTCCTCATTTTGTCCTAGTTATTAGGTGAACACTCATGATCACTTTAGCGTCGCTCAAAGATCGTCCACAAATTATAGTCTCACCACTAAGACTTTGTTACAGTAATGTAATTACTAACAATTGAACAAATCCTTCTATGAATAAAACTAGATCTACGCGAATTCAACAAACCAGACATGATGTACAATATTTCAATGATAATAATTTTCCAATACAAAAGAGGTTAGGGCTTTAGATGAAACTGAATGGTCAAGATGAGACAACTAAATCAAATTTGTTACGTAACAGCTCTGTTTTAATGACATAACTGGAAGTGAGAATAAACAATCAAATGATTGTAATGATAATTAAAGTAGCATAGATTGAACAAATCCTATCATGGTTATTATTTTTTTTACATACCAATCATTTTCGATTCTTGTTCTCTTCTCTTCAATCTTCTTGACCTTTTTCTGCCAGGTATTCCTGAATGACATGGCTTAAAATCGTTTGCAATGGAGCAGGTGCATCCACTCTTTGTGTTCTCCCAAATTCTAATCTCCTGAATCCTCCTTGTCTCTTTTTTCTGTGAAAATTTATTTCACTGGATTATACTCCTTGAATAACATCTTCAAACCCTAATCTTTCCGATTACTGTTTATACTTTTACTA